GGTAATAATCTTTTTTGACTAATGCACTTCGAGCATTAAAAGCGCAAGCCCTCTGTGGTTGTCCGGTAGCATGCTCCTCCTGAAAATTTTGATATTTAGATCGTTGAAAACGCAATTTCCCGCGTTTTTACGGCATAATTTGGAAAAGTTTGCTTGCGAAAAATGCTCGCAAGATCACACAACAGCGACTGCGTATCAGTTTTACCAAATTGTATTTTGCACATACTATATTTATAGCTAGCACTTCCCATTACATCAAGTTTTGCACAACCAATAAAAGTCAAGAAGACTAGCAAACAAAATGACTATTATCAGTAAAAATGGTAAAGGAAAATTTGTGAGAATTTTAATGGTGCCATCAATGTTTGCATATGTAATAGCATGATTTCGAGTGCAATTTGGGAAAAATATCCATGAGTGAGTTTTTCACATGTAAACAATCTACGAAGGCTTTAAACTATATTTCTCAATTATCAATATAGTTACATCTATGATTCTATGTCCATATTGTCAGCGTAAAGGTACTTAAAGCATTTCGAAACTATTAACATTCCAATGTGATATATTTTTGCATTTTGCTTGTATTGATTGTAAGTTATCATTTTGCGATATATTGACGATTCAATTTTCTGACTGATGCACTCGCATCAGTTGAATCAGTCTGGATCCACCACTGTTTCTTTAATAGTTGTTTGTCAACTTATTATTATTGCCCTTTCGTAAATCATGTCATAGGGAGCTTTATATATCAATTCCATTTGTCATACTTCATATCATAAGCTGTTTTTTTGTATTATATTACTTAATCCTTCGCATTTTTAGCTGGCTGATTATAACAGTTCTAGAAAAACACGCATATATGCTCTTAATTGATGTTTGTATGAGAATTTATAGTGTATTAAATACGATTACAATAAAATAATATAATAAAAGCAAGTGGTAAATTTGCATTATAGAGACTTTCCGAAAAAATGCGCACTTATACAAATATTAAGCTTCATCTATTTCATCGAAATTGTTGAAAATTATAGGCCTTGAAAACGTTTCACGCTGTGCAATTATCTCTAGCTTCGAAAATTGCGCACATTGCCTTCTTGTAATAAAATGCGCACGGAACGTATTCCATGCGCAAAGCAATTAGCCTTCCAAGCAATAAAAGGAGATTGATTATAGATACGCTTTAACTAAGCCTAAAAATTAGGGTTTTCTTACAGCAAAGATAGGATTTAATGGCATGCAAGGCAAAATAAAAACCAAGACCACGCCAGTACAAACTACATAAGTAATGAAATTTGAAATTAAACCAGGCTTACCTAAAGTCAAACTTGGATTGTAATTCTCCTAGATGGAAGGCAACGTCGATCGAAACTGTGACACAGTATAAGGTCAAACAGTAAGGCCACTCATGGGATAAAGAAGTGTCCACTTGGTCCCAGATCTTTTTGCGCGGCCACTTAATCAGCAGCCAGTAAACAACAAGCAATTGATATAAAAGTATAATGTAATTTCTCGCAGAATTGAACATTTTCTTTCACGAAGAACACTATTTTTTACCAAATCGGCGTATTGTTGAAAGGAATTTTTGTGCAACTCTGACAGCTACATTCCAGTAACCCAACAAAGTTGACCTTTTTCGTCAACGAAAACGCATACTATTGGCTAGTAATATCAGACTTTGTACTCAAACATGGCGGAGTGGCAAGAGGTGTTGATAAATCTGATGCGAGGAAAACCAATTTTGTATGATGAAAGTCACCCGGATTATAAGGACTCGAGCAACAAGAAAATAAATCACTGGCAAGATGTTTTGGATGAATTCAATGAAATTACGGACTTGGGATAGTGGGATAGTGAGTATTATTGATAGTCCGCCGACAAACTTTTTATGTCAAATCATTTATTTCCATTATTTTTTAAACATTTTACAGTTGACAATATCATGAAAAAGTTGGCAAATCTGCGTGACTCATTCATGCAGTGTAAAAGGCAGTACGATCTTAAAAGAGCTAGTGGTGTTGCTACCACTAACGAGCCGAATTGGAAATGGTGGCGACACTTTTATTGGTATTTGAAAAAGCAGTAACTTTTTCTTAAGAAGTAATCTTTTTCTTTTAGAGATCGCCATTTTTTCTAATCCGTCAAAAACGCCGATTGCTTATTGGCCAAAAAAGTTTTGGCTTTGCAAACATGCTTGTAACTTTTCGTCAAGTCTGGCATGCATTTCGTGCACGAATTTCCGTTTCGTTTTCGTTTTCGACAATATAGACGATAGTGTGGCCCAGGCTTAACACATTCTTATCCCGAGAAGCAAGTTTCTCAAGTAATCAAGTGGAAAGTTTTTAAATATTTGAAAAGAGATAGAAACATTCTCTAATTTTGCCAGGAGATGCTTTCCGACGCACGAACTTTGCAAAACATCGAAAAGTTGGCTATGAAAACATCTTCCATTTTTGTGACAAAATCCAGTAATGGCTCTGAGGACACGTGCAAACCACCAAATATTGTCTTATCAGTTTTGTATGCCTTGAAAAAACAATTTTCTATTATCATCAAGTGATGTGGATATTAGTGTATTCTTACACTGTTGACATGAATGTCTTTTCGTCTTTGAAGATGGTATTCACCTTTATAAATTTAGACGACTTTAATGGAGTTTGTCCTAAATGTGGAAAAGATGACCTTCATCTAGAGAGCGATAATTCATTCAGTAGGGAGGCTTTTCCTAGCGTTGCCCGAAAAATAATTGCAGAAAAATTTTTTTAATTCATAAGAACAGCTGGTTTGATAATAGAAGAAATTTTGAAGCTCGCGCATCTGTAGGCTTACAAATACTAACAAGAACTAGTAAAACACGAACTAAAAATTGGAAGTGACCACGCTAGTCGACTGGTACAACTTCGCCGGAGAAGTCTGCGCTGAAATACTACACTATACTTTTTTCCAGGTTGTTAAAGACCGTTCATATGCAATTTCATACCAATAATTAAAGAACACGTACTACTAGGTACAAAAATTTTTTCTAATGGCTGGAAGGCGTATGACTGCCTAGAAAAAGAATGCGATATAAATCAAACTGTCAATCACAGAATTGAATTCAAAAACTCTGACACTGGGGCATGCACCATCACCATTGAATCAACATGGAAAGCTGTGAAAAAGTCACTCTCAAAAAAAGGAAGAAGAAAAAATGCATCCGACGATAATTCTTCGAATTTCTACAAATGGTCCGAACTATTTATTCTCCTTCACTAACAAATGCCCATCAACCAAATCTAAACAATGACCCTATCCCTAACCTTGAACATATACCTCACCTTAACCCTAACACTAACTCTAGTCCCTCACCTTAATGATACACTCCGTTTGACTTCTTTTTACTAAAAACATGATTTGTTAACTATCAAGTGTTATTAAATCAATCAAAAACTGTATTTTGAACTTTCTTATGTGTATCACAAATCAAACTTGTCATTAATATTAGTTTTCCCGCGAAAATGACAACACGAGGCCGCACTCCACATGTAAACGCCTTAAACGGCGTAAGCAAGAGATCAAAAAGAAAGAGAGGGACTACTGCAGTTTAGCCGATTCAAAGGCTAGAACGCAAAAAAGTTTCTCTGGGCCTGGTGGATTTGCTTTTTCTGAAACCAAACTACATGTATCCTGTGAGGCCATTGGTGAGTGATGCCGCGAGGATTTCATCTCTAAAATACGTTTCTTGTTTTTAGGCATACACAAGTTTTGCCACATGACGTTTTAGTTAACATTGCTAAGTCTGCAGTTATTACTAATTGCAACATAGTGCGCAAAAACGTACTTGAGCATCACAGAGAAATCCAAGATTTAGCTAAAGATAAAAGCGAGCTTTCAAATCTGTGGTTATTACATTTATTCAGCGTTACAGTAATGCAAATTAGGCTACATGTTGTCAACTTGAATTTTTAAAGAACAAAATTAAAACTAAATTTACATGTTTGCATGCGAGACAGTCGTAAGTGGCAGGTTGCAAACAAAAAGTCGAGGTTCTTGTTGGAGCTGCTTTTTTTTGAGACAGTGGACGCTAAACCTCTAAATATACACGTGATAGAACTTACAAAAAAGACAAAAAAAATTAAATTTTACGTATTTATATTAAGTATACGGTTTATCACTGAAAATTGTCGACGACTGTATGAAAACAAAAAACGTTGTTATGAATTGGTTTTTTTTTATATATTAAGGATGTATTACAACCTCCATATCAACAATGAAAGTTTGTAATTCAGCACTGTTAATATTTCTGGACCAATAACGCCCTTCAAGTTGAGTTCTTACTAAACATTTGTTTTCTAGCTACATGTTGTATCTGAGTAATTCTTGAATGCTTAACACTTGGTGATACTGTGGAACTATGTTTTCTTTAAAGAATCATTGTCAACCACAATGCAACGCGCGCTCGAATTATCTTCTTGGTTGAATAAATGCACAAACATTGTATCAGTTTGTAATCCGTGGATATTCTGTGCATCTTTTTTAGATGTATTAAAATTTGTGTCGTTTTTGGATCAAAAAAGCATTTTCAGTAGTTTGCTAGTGATATTTTTCATAAACGTATCTGTTTGCGCGGGCAAATAACTACTCAAAACTATAGCAAGCTTAACAGTTGAAAATAGGCTTAAAAGAGGAAGACCAATTGTTGATATTCAAATAAATACTTGGTATTTAGAATCACGCACTTTAATCTGTTGTCGAAGTTGCACGAAGAGTCTAAGACAAAGATCATCGTGTGATTAAATAAGTTGTCATATTTAGCACGAATATACACAAACAAGAGGCGCGCGTTGCTTTGTTGTTAATTTTGCTTTCTTTATGATTTACTTACATCCATCCACGATGCATTTATGTGTATCGAACAAAGATATACAATTTTTGTCAAACAGTGTAAAGAAATTCCATGGTAGCTATCACCTGATCTAATTTTTACTAAAACTAAACCAGTGATGATTAAGGTAAACCGAGGCTTTCAACAGCACTACAATAGATGTAAATGCATAAGATGAAGACAATTTTACAAAAAGGTCTATGGTAATTATAGATAGAGACAAAAACGTGCACCATCTATATTAAAAACTTAAATTGAAAAACAACTTTTATGTTAGAAATGTCTTATAAAACCTAAACTACATAATCAATAAAACGTAAATATATCATCTAAGAACTTGGTGTGTTGTGTTGCACCATGGTACAAGCAAAATTACCCGATGATATGGTGAAGCATTATATACATGTAAAAGAGGAGGGTTATATCATGTAGTGTGTAATTTTACGATCGGCACAACACACAAAGTATAATGAGTCAAATAATGCAAACTGCTCATTAAACAACCGTTCCTCTACAACAAAGACTGATGGTAGTTGAAAACTTCTACACAACAGTGCAATAAATAGAAGTTAGACACCACCTTGGATAAATATATACTACATTAAACGTATATAGATTGCTACTCAAAATATTACATCACTTCTCTTGATAATGGTTACAATATTTTTTCGCGTTTTCATTCGTATTCTTCAACTTTACGATAGATGCGTAGAAGAACAAAATCGCTCAGCAACGTAATAAGCTGTAACAATAAAATAAAGTAGGTAAATCTAAAATTTCCGACAACTTGTAATAATTTGAGTCAGGAAGTGTTAAATCTTTATACGCAGCTACGATGCCTAATTCATTGCTTTCTCTACTAATTCAAGACATCGTGTCCAGCTTAAAGCATATCAAAATCGTGGTGCCAGATTAGTTTTTAATTTGAAAAACATAAAAATTCAATTTGATCGCGGTAAAATCAGTATAGTTATAATTCGAAAGAAAAACAGATCGTATTTTTTAAAAATGGTTGTTACGAACCTGAACAACAGCAATAATGAACGCCGTTCCACCAATGAGGTAGAAGTTATCAAGAACCTCCCGTTTTATTACTGGAAAACAGGCTTGCTGAAATTAAAATAAAAAAGTTTGTCTACATTCAGAAAATATCTCTTACTGAACTTACGGACTGATAATTCATTTGACCAAGATCATATTGTGACACACACGTTTGTAGCTATATTTTACTGAGTGCCGAATCAATTGAATAAATTGTCTTGTGTTCATGTAAAAGGCAGTTCTTGTACCTAAGAGCTTGCTCTTTTAAAGAAAAAATGCTATTTGTCATGGAATAAAGCGATTCAAAAGTAATACAATACAACGAGAGAAGGAGGGTGAAATATTTCGGTCTTTTAAAAGAAATATGAGCATAATGAGGTATGGTTGGAGTTACAAGCTTTTTGTGTATGGTTGGAAAGCGACATACTCGATAACTCGAAAAAAGATATGGTGAGAGAAATATAAATGTGTGTTTAACATGTGGCCGCTGGTGTATGTTACGTATTATCATGTTCAGACTTTGCATTGCCAGATATGTAATGTTCTACGTACATTATTCTGCATTAATTTAAATATACTTAAGATTCAATCGGAGTCAGGTTACTAGTTACGGGGCCTGTACGCTAAGTCAAGTTGTGAGTCTTTAAATGATATGTATTCTTCCACTATGTTCAATCTCTTGACGACGTTTGCGTTCCACACGCTCCTTTGCTTTTACATTTACTGGCTTGAGTTTGTAACCCATAGTGCAAATTAACAATGGGGAAAAAATTTAAGTTCATAATATATAATCACCGGTATGGTCAGGGAGCTGGGGAAAATCCATTACTTCATGAGTTCTAAGCAGTTAAACAGTACGTACGGTTTCCAACAGCATAATTGTTCGAATTTAAGCATATTAAGCCAGTTCAGATTAGCAAAAACTACACCAATGCACTCATTACGTATGTCTAAAGGTCTTGGTCTGTATCCTAAGCCTACCTAGCCTACTGAATAATACGATAAAAATGGCTTTTCTCCAAACTATTACAGTTGTCTGAATAATTTCAATTGCTTAAAAGTGATCGATAATCAATAGAAATTCTCATGTTCAATACATGAACAGAAGATCACAATAAAACATACTCGTGCAAAAGCGTCGTCTCTATCACCACCACACGCTTTAGGACCGCCGGGGGGTGCTCGGTTGTTTTTCAAGAAATCTAGTGATTCCTGGACACCACAGCATTTAAACTAAAATAGATAGATAAACATTACTTATTCATCAAGTCCAAAACTTTTAATTACACGTTTAAATTATTTGACCCTTGTGGACGTAAGATGTGCTAAATTTTTTGATAGCACGTGACATTTGAATCACAATTTAAATGACAATAGTAAGTTACAGTACAAAATTTAGCTGACGTCTGCATGTGGAGTGTTAAATATGAAATTAAGACATTTCGCTAACACTAAAATAGCTCGTTCTCGTGTATTTGCAGGTAACTGATAATAATATTTCCATTCGAAACAATTTCACGATTGATACAAGTACAAGCAAGAGTCGATAGGCAATTTCCATTGTGGATCACAGGTTTTACGCAAATAATGTTGGCTGTCCCAAAAGACACCAAAAGATATTTACCATCATGTAAAAGAACTAGACCTTCCACATGAAAATTAATAAAGCGTGCGTACATATAGTAGTCCATGACAACGGCAACGAGTGTCTCGTTCGCAGGGAGGTGCACAGTGTTTCCATTTGATTAGCTTAAGAACTTCAGATGTTTGTTGATGTCCATCATCTAGGTTAGTTGAGTCCTGAGGACTGTTGGTGCTGATGTTGACTGAACTTTCGACAACCTTAGCAGTAGTCATCTTCGTACTTTTCTTTGAAAATTACTACCATCGAGGTTGTCAAAACTTCACTCAGCAACAACACCAACAGTCCTTCTCAGGACTCAACTAACGAGGACGATCTACATATACAAACATCTGACTAACGATACTCCCGGGTTCAAACTATTCACTTTATTAAAAACTTGAATCATGAAGAATTTCACCGAACGCCAAAAATTGTGTAATGATTTTGTGCTTACAAATGTTTCATAAATATATATTCTTACCCTTCTTTGAAACAAATCCCAGGCCTTAGTGACGTGCTCGTAAGATGGATAAAAATATTGGTTTTGATAAGCATTTATCATGCACGCTTGGTACCTGTCTTCGATCTGAAATAACAAGAAAAAATACATCAGTGATATACACAGACTACAAACATTACAGAAATAATACATCATGCAGTGACATACGCAGATATACACATTACACAAATAATAGCTTTATGTTTGTTTGCAAACCGAAGACCTTCGGGAGAATTCGAGAGCAGATCAGTGCAAGAATATTCAACCTGTTTCTTCAAACTTACATGATCTCTTCTTGCAAACACATATATCCCTGCCGTCACCTCACCAATGAACAACATTATCAGTGTGAAAATAAACTAAACAAATGTAAAACAGTTTAACAAATAACTAAATAAACTTATTTTGCAAATAACTAGTTGATAATAGCTTCGTATAATCGATTGTAATCATCATAATCTTTGGTTTTACTTGATTCATAGCAGTGGAGAATGTCCGTCACGCGCGAGATAGTCACCGATCAATGATCATGCGTTACCAATTTTTATGTATAGTCAAATGTATAGTCTCAATGGTCACAACCAGTGCTGTAGAACTAAATTTATCAGATGGGGGGGCTCTCTTGACGAAGCTGAAGCCATGAAATTTTTGAAAAATTACCCATTTCAAAGGTAGAAGGGGGTCTCCTCTCCCAAGCGCCGCCCCCCCCCCCTTACTTCTACAGCACTGGTCACAACTGTCTTTGAAAAGTTATAGTTAACGGGCAGTCAATATACCACTATACATGCATGTAGATCCCGCGTGATCAGTGACCATCGCGCGCGGAACAGATATTGCCCACAGTTTTGATTCTATGAATCATCAATCAAGGGGAAATAATGTCAACATAAATCGATTATGTACATGAAAAAAAGCAAACTGATTTCTAGGCTGACTATGCTGAGACCTCATTGCAAAACTCCATGTCTTTACCGAGAAATATCTGACAGATGTATTTTTTTACAGAGTCTACAGACCGAGCCAGGAGTGCAAAAACACACATAAATAGTTTTGACAGCGGACGAAAAAAGTCAATTTGCCGACGAGACAGGATTTAAGTCAGTGTACGTAAACTGACGGTAGTAGCTGCAAAGTTATAATACTACCAAACTGGCTTGTTGACTGTCAGTGCAAAAGTTTGAATCAAACAATCATGGGTTACTTGAGGGCCAACCTTAAATCTTACAAGCTAATATCTGGAGATATTATAAATACAAGTGTCTTTGATAACGTGTTGAGTTTGATAATAACTTTTAAATAGAAGGTAAGCCTGTGGATACTGATGTTAACACGTACATTCAACTACCTAAAGCACACATGACTCTTTCACTAACTTCTAAAACAAACGTAACAACTGCATTTACCATTGGCATAACATCAACGTTGGGGCCCAAGTTTGACTGCAAACCATGGTTAGAAGAAAATAAAATTTGTAATGCTAGGCTAATCGGCCCTCCTATTGATTCTTAGCTAATTATTAAAGAAAAAGTGAATCATTTTAGGTTGTTCTATTATTATTATAATGTTAATAATGACTATTCAGGATTCTGAATTCTGGATGATTTTCATTAGCTATTTTGTGAAGTGTATATTTTCTTTAAGCTATAAATTTTAGTTTCAAATCTTTTGAAGCAATGAAAATAAAATAAGAACATGTTTGAAATCTTAGCCCAAACATGTTCTTATAGAGAGGGCATGAATTAGAAATTTTATCCTAACAGGTTCTTAAAAGGCAGGTTCTCATGCACAGGATTTTGCTGTATGTTTCGCTGTCATATGAGAAGTTAACACACTTACCATCATTAGAAGTTTGGTGTTTTTCGTGCATATGGCAATGTAAGATATAACAACTGCAATAACAAGTACAGAACCAAAACCAAGCAGAAATCCAGCAGCAACAAACCACTCGTTGTCACCACATAAATCAGCATAACTTCCTCGATAGGTGTTCAAAAATATACCAAGAGCCAGTGCTGCCAATGCTAGCAACTAACAACAAAATTGTACAAGTGTAGATTTATCAAATTTGACAAAAAGGCAAGGCAAAACAATAATTTTTTACAGTTAATGACTTTTATATCCTGGGTTTGTAAATTCTATGTAGCAAATACATCTGACACATGACACATAAGGTACGTAATCGTCTTCTTACCAAAATGAGACTGTTGAAAATAATGGTGAGCACCAAAATGACTTTATCAAAACGAGTAAATTGGTAAGACTTACCAAATCTAAAACAAAAAAACAATAACCTGAAACAAAGGAGTTCCCAAATACTAATGGCACACATATACGTAGAAACTGCTTGATTTTTGTGTTCTCAAAATTTCGACACAATCCACTAACAGTTACAAATTATGTTGTTATCCGTTATAACAGTCTGGCACAGCATTGTCTTAGATTTCAAATTACAATAAAAAAACTAGCCCAATTAAATTATTAAAATGACATTCTGTCATTATATTTCTGACAAGGCAAAAAGAGAAATGGAATTCGAGTGTCTTTGTCCTGCTAATATAGAAACATTTGTGTGTACATTACATTGATTTCTCATGCAAGTCTCAGATAAAGAACAATGCACACCTTGTTCTGCCTGGAATCATCATCATTTTTTTAGAACTGGAAGGAATGAAAACTTTAGTATTAGCAGGTTGAGTTGTGGCACCATTTTGATTTTGTAGCGGTTGAAGCTCCATGAACCTAGAGAAGAAAAACATTTACAGTGACCACATTTCAATCTTGGGAGTGATTTTGAAGTTCAAACACTACACTATACATAGGCAAGAAAATTTTCTTTCATAAGTAGCTATAGCTCCTTTTTTTTGTAATTATAGTAATCTGATGTAAACAGGGGGGAGTCAATGAATTTAGTATACATTTATTCTCTCATTCTTTTAACATTACCTAAATGTCATTCACGTGTAGAATATAATATCAAAGTGACTGACAAACAAGTGATGTCAGGAAAAATTTCGTAGCAAATATTTCACTCATTGTAATTTAGAAACCACTAATCTCACATATTTTAGTGGTCATCTATTTTTTTGAGAAACGTCGGCTCAAGCAACTTGTGATCATAAAACAAATTTCACTTCTTTTGATATGTATGGCCGGTATGGCGTTGTGAGTTTGCAATGATGACTCTTTACATCTTGTACATTAAATAAAATAGCTAAGACTTCTCCTGGACAAACATTACGATACTAATGAAACAACATACGTAGTTGAATTTTTGTTTTGGGCATTTTCACTGTTGCTTCTCAAAATAACGTCCCATTTAATAGCTATGACTTTGGACGCAAAACATACACAACACACAATATAAAATCAATGAGATACTTAACTATAATAGTTGTCAAATAAAAGTCTTTGCGAAGAAATTAACGTACATCAACCGATTCAAAGTTAAACTGTGAGCGAATTTGTTATTCATCATAGAAATTGCGACATTTTAGATATAATAGTGACACAAAGTGGAACAAACCTTGTTAATAGAAGCCAAAACTTAGATTTTGATTTTATTTTCTTGACCTTTTCTTTTCAAACACTTCTGTCAAGAGGGCTGCGTTCGTACTTTGAATTCTTAACACAAATATGCAATTATTACTAATTTGCCTTGCAAATATATGCTAAGTATGCGGATGCCAGAATCCCACGCTCAATATAAACAATCATTCCCGACGGGGGGTATCTTTGGTAGATATGTGATTTGGAAACGCGGATAGAAAATGAATTTTTTATAATATCTGAATAAGTATGTATTAAAAAGACAGTTAATCTTTGCTTTGAAAAATTTTGGAAGGCCGTCGTGGAAGCAGTGAATGCAAAATGTGGCAACTTGCAAGAGGTACTTCGACATCCATTTCATCATATAAGATTACTAAAGAATTATTTTAGACTTGATCACACATTAGAAGATGGTGTATAGCCTATAAATATTGCATACATTCAACGAGCCTTTTGTTTAGAAATAACGCATGCACTGTACTATTTTATGGCTTAAACTGAATGATGTTGCTATTACAATATTGTCACCTTACAATATTGGACCTTAGGCAACACTTATTTGCGACACATTCCACAATACGAATATATGAAAAAAAACCAGAAGAATTCTTATCCAAAACGTTTTATTGAAGAAAGTCTCAAAAACATCAACAACAATGACCAAACCCAACACCACTGAGACACAATCTTCCACTCAATTTAAAATATTTAAACCTTCAAGTGGCGAATTCCCCCCGTTGCTTTTCATTTCGTTTGCTAATTGTTTCAGTCAGCGAGCGGTAAAGAACGCTAGTTATTCCAACGCACAACCAGACATTTGTTCCAACGTACACCAGACAGCTCTTCCTAAATGTGAAAAAAATTTTTTTATTATCTTTAATACGAACAACTGTTGTTTGTTTCGAACTTTCCATCCGATAAAGGACTGCGGTTAAAGTTTTTTGCCTTTCGGTAATTTTTCCAGTACGTACATTAACTACATTACGTACATTAATCACCCTAATAGCCAATCATAGTCGTTCATCCCATGAATTACTAATGTAAGGCTCATCTGGCTCATCCGGTTGTAGTAGATCTTACATTTTACAAACCAGTACAAACCAGTATATATACATTTATATATATTAGACTACTTCACTGTCAAAGGTCTTTGCATTTACAAAAATGTTTTCCCAGATTCGTGAAAACCACCTCGGTTATAGATGACACATACAGACATTAACTATATTCCCAATTAATATTAATAATAAAATTAATTAACTATTCATCCTCTTGCTTTAAAATCATCGACACTGCAGATACTACATTCGCAATCAAAATCAAAGAAGCACTTCACATCAAAAAAACTAACCCTAACCTCAACGTTTTTGTTTTTCGTATATAACACTATATTCAGCCTGTAAATACACACATCAATAATTCTAACCACTATATCACTGTCATATTTATATATAATAATTTACTCATAATTGTATAAATTGTATCACTGTATCATATTACTCTTATATATAGTTATCACATACATAATACCCTTTATTAAACTGAAGGTGGCATCATGAGATGTTGAAACATGTTGATTTTAAAAAAACTTGTTTTTATTAATTAAATGCGATTACATAATGGTTTCAAGTGTCAAGATGGCCTGATTCAAACACTTGGGAGTGTTGCTCGGAGTAAGAAAAGCGGTGCAAAACTCGCGCTTTCCTTAACTCTTGCTTAATTCTGCGTGTTTAAATTAAGTGACTCACACAGGGAAACCATTAAGTAAATATTTAATACAAGTTCTACACTATGCTTAACCTTTACAACACAATTTTCCCAGATCTACACAATTAATTGTCACTGTTTTGAAACTGGTTTCTTTGTAATCACTCTCCGTTCCTGCTAGTTTCCTCTCAGTATTTGTAGCAACGTTTTCTGCCTTCCTTGTCATATAATGATGTTTATATAAAAAAACAATTAAAAACAATGGAAAAGTCGCTACACCTATTTAATCAGTTCTCCTGCGTATGAGATAAAATTTTAAATCACCCGGTATCCTGCATGTTTTCATCCATGAAACTTTCGTTTCAATTGTTTATTTCAAATTGAAGCCAGCAACAATTCAAAAATCGACGTTAGAGAGCAGGTGGCTACTTAGGTGGCTGCATGTCGTTTGCTGATGGCCACTGGTGTAATCGTGTTACATCACAAACTAAATCCTGTGTTACACAAAGACTTCCTGCATTGTATCAAGCATGTTTGAACTTTTCTTATACTTTACGATTCTTGATCAAAGAAAGCTGTTGACGAGTGTTTGAAAGAATACTGCACGTATTTTCTGGCTCTCTTAAAAAGTTAGTACACCACAGGTACAAGTTCTCAATGCAATAACACAAATGATGAAAAAGCTGCGCTTTTTGATCTCAAACAAATATATATCAGCTGCGTTTTCGAGCAATGAAATTATTTTTTGCTTGAAACGTGCATCGGTATGAAAACACGATAAGAATCGTATAACTATTTGATTTGTTTGTATTTGTGTACATATATTAATTGTAGAAACAGTTTTTCAACAAAATCTAGATTTCCAAGTTACCGCTACGATGTTCACTTTTTACCGTAGCGTTGATTTCATGCGACAGATATTCAAATAATCAATGTTACCTCTGAAGGACAATATGGTTTGCCGCAAGAAATCGTTTGAATGGTGACCCTACTGCAAATCAGTTGTAAATTCAACCCGATTATTTAGCTTTGCTGTGTAAATTTTTGTGCGTTCGCTCACTGTGAAAACAATTCGCTACGTCCTGCCGGTGCTGGCAATCAAAGAACGTTGTTGAATCATGCAAGATCTTATTTACTTGAGGAACAGATCGAGGATTTTATCAAGTAAATTGCGCTATTTGAAAATGATATAGCACAAGTTCATGAAACAAGGCTGAATGAACATTCCTTGCACCCAGCTCTGAATTCACCTCTAACTCCATCAGTTTTATGAATTTTGCAGGATTATTTCAAAATGATCGTTTTCTCAAGACTAAGAGCGTTAGCCCTTGAGTAGTATGGAGACTGCCAGTTCTGGCGCAACCCCACTCTGGGAGGCTGCGTACATAAATCTGAGCGCCCCAGCCCTAGTTGCCAGTTCTGGCGCAACCCCAGTTTGGGAGGCTGCGTACATAAATCTGAGCGCCCCAGCCCTAGTTCGTTTACTCATTACTTCGTACTGTGTATACATGGGTCCCGACAAAAATCGCACCGGTTCTGGCGCACCTCACACTTTGAGAAGGAGTATGCACAAATCTAAGCGCCCAGCCCTAGTTCGCACACATAGTAAGCACATAGTAAGCACTTAGTAAGCACCTATATCGGCACAAAAATCACAAGACAGCGAAGGCCAAACCCTGGACAACGGCAGGAGCCAAAGACGGCCGGCCCACCCCCAGTGCCCGCACGACCGGCCATCGGGGTCTTAGTTCTGATGTGATAGTTAGTACTTGTTGAGAGTATTCCCTCGAGGACCCAGTCCAACATGCGGAGGTGGGCATCTACTCGCTCCCTCGCAAGCACAACTTGCCGTTACAGTTCCTCGGGAGCTGTAACGGCAAGTTGTGCTTGCGAGGGAGCGAGTATTATGGTGCGGTATAATTATGCGGTATTTGTATGCGCCTGGCGAACTAGAGGGTGGCGAACGGCGTAGGGCATCCGATCCTATCTGGAGTGTGACCTCCCACCAGGTCGAGCGGGCTGTGGTTGAGTGCGGGAAGCCCGTGCTGTATTATTTGAGCGATGGGCCCAAGCGCGCGTTTATGCGCGAGGAGCTCCAAGTGCTTAGACGATGGGGTCCTGTCACGCTTTTTATGAAAACTCCTTTCACTACCAGGTACTACATTGCGCTTAGCTGTGGAGCAGCTCTTCTACTGTAAACATCACAGCATAATTACGCATTTATTTATTCGCCTGCGGCACCGGCTTCCCTATGCCCGTATGCTAGGGTAGAGATCCCATCGGCCGCGCTCCAGCGCTTCTTGTCCAGCGGGTTCAACGATGTCTTGTTGACGTGCTCGCCGAAGATCTGATAGCAAAGCGCGCCGAAGATCTGAAGCAGAGCGCTTCCGCCACAGCATATCCATACCGTGGCGGAAGCGCTTTGCTTCAAAGAGCGCCTCTTTGTACTGGGCATACACTGATATGCTTTTTCACGACGGCCTCTTTAACACCCTTGGCTTTGCGCTCCTCCTGACCATCGGCTTTGAGGAAAGAGTTCATCTTGGGCCTGAGCCCACAAACTCAGCGATAGGAGCCCTAGCGCACTCGTCCTTTATTTTCCCCAGCACCATCTTGTTGGCTGTGCTGAAAAGCGGATGGTTTTTGGGATAGTTGCTGGTGTCGTACTGATCGGCGTTGCGCCTCATGTCGGCGTACACGTCCTCAGTCTGGATCTCCAGCACAAGACTGTCGGTGTCGGTGTAGAGGAGCTCTGCTGACGACCCGCACTGCACCTTGAGATGGTTGTAGTACCAATCGTACATCAGATGCTTCGAGAGGACTGCCTGGTGAAGCCGTGAAGGCAACGCTCACAGAAGTGCAGCCGGTGGCCATTCTTCGATTCCTGGCTGAGAAGGCGGTTGAATTCCTTGATCCAGGCGTAGTGGTATTTCTCGGGGTTTTTCGAATCCGAGACGAGGAAGAGATTCACAGTCTTGTGAGCTCTCTCTACTTTGCTTAGACGGCAACGAACGACGCTCTCTTCCCAACCATACAGGTTGATAGCAAGGTCGTTATGACGCTCTACTCGTTCGAGCTGGGAGAGTGGTGTGGGTGCGCTCACTCCCGCAATGTCAAGGCCGCCTTCAGTGGGAAACTTTCCCGGCCATTGCGGGTCTTTAGCTGCAGGAAACAGCGCAGCCCTTAAAGACCAGCGGAGGCTGTCATCGTCTTGGTTTTTCACGTTGATGATCGCCTTCTTATTCTTGGCCGCGGTGGGGAGAGGAAGGTATGAGCCTCCCCGTAAAGGCTGGTAGTGAGCGATGTAAAGCCAAAGTGTTTTAACACGATCCACTGTCCACCCAGACCCTTCCCGAGTGAACTTTTCCAATCTCTCCAGGATTGTTGGGAAGGCTTCATGTAGGGCTTGCAGAATCTCATGCGCCTGTAGCAGTGTGATCTGCTTTGTCCGGAACACTGGTGCTTGAAGCACTTCAGTACCATTTGCTTCATCCTTCCGAAGCTCAACCTCTACAGCCAACTGGAACTTAACTCCTCGTAGTGATAGTAGCTCCTCGATGAGTTTGCGTGTGATGTAAAGCTGAGCGCTTTCAAGGAAAGCCATCAAGTCGCGTTCGGAGTGGTGTCACTTCGGCACCTGCATTTTTCACGCTCTCAGATGATAGCTGAAGGCCTTCGTTTCATTCCACTTAAGTTCCGTAGGTGGTGTGGGAGGAGCCCTTGTGAGGCGTCGTGGCTTAAATTTAGCCAGAAGCTTATCGATGTGTGCGTCCATCTCATCATCAGTAGGCTCGGCGGGCCTGCGCTTGCGCAGTTTGAGGATAGGCCTGCACTTTCGTGGTTTGGGGATAGGGCTGCGCTTTTGTGGTTTGGGGATAGGCGGAGTGACATTTCTTGGCGTGGACGTTTGAAGAGCCTCAAGAGAGTCGTGCAGCGCGTCTCCGCTGATCACACCTTGTTTATATAATTGTATAAGATCCTTAACAACAACATCCATATAAAGTGTCGCAAATTTTTGTACTATACCCTACGCGAGATAAATCTCTATATCAAAATAAAATCAAAATGTCGAAGTTAATTCGGCGAGTACTCTAGCAAATCTCTTTCTTGCTTGTTTCTGTTTATAAACGAAGATATGATGCACCCTATTCGAACCGCAGGCTTGACAAGGGATAGTTTCCGCCTAGTTGGCGCTTAGATTTATGAACGCAGCCTCCCGGCCCGGGGTCGTGCCAAAACTGGCAACTAGGGCTGGGGCGATCAGATTTATGTGCGCAGAATCCCAGCCCGGGGTCGCGCCAAAACTGGCAACTAGGGCCGGGGCGATCAGATTTATGTACGCAGACTCCCAGACTGGGGTTGCGCCAAAACTGGCAGTCTCTATACTACTCCTTGCTCGTTACATTAATTTCACATCAATAATATTGGTGGTTTCCATTGAAATATGATGTCTTTGCATGCGTAGGTGACCACAGTAATCTATTCACAAAATGTAAATATTCGAGCTGGCTTTTCCACGACATCTATTTTACGTAGATTTGTAAAAACACTGCTTACGAGATTCAAAGACTTAACTAAATAGCGGACCAGATAACAAAAAACTTGGAACATGCTTGTTGCTGGTTGATTCTGGACTTGTCTTTAATTTTATAATTTTTTATCACCAGTCCCATTTTCATCCAAATAATGTTGATTTATAGTTGTTCATGATGAAAATGAAGATGGGGGTGTGAAAAAAGTGATCCCTGTTGAAGCCAGTGAAGCTAGATATTAATTCCTGGCAACAAATGAGAAGTCTCATCTCATTGTAGAAAGCAGCTCAAAAAGATAACCTTTTAATGCATGTCATTTTTTTAGATGGAAAGAAGCATTCTTTCAGGTCTACAAATCGAAGCAATATTTGGTGATCAGCAGTTTCAGCACAGCGATATCATTCCTTTCTCCAAGGTGCTTCGCCTTATATATCATCATGCATCATATGCGTCATGAAAGCATAACTACAACACTTGACATAAAAAAAATTTTAGTTAGCGTTGACAGTATTATTGTGTGCAACAAAGATTCTAACTTTTTTGCAGAATGAAGAATGTGCCATGAAGAAAATTAGAAGAAAGCTCAAAAATAAGGAAAGCATAAACATAATTAATAACTTATCAACAAAGTTTAAGTTCAGCACGAGAAAATATTTCCTGAGTTTGGTTTCTATTTATTCAAGCTTATGTAAAGCTTCATTTCTCGTAATTTTTAATTTTTTTCACTGTTTCTGTTGTTGCTACTTTTGAGGTTTATATCTTTTCTTCCAAATCTAACATTCAAGTGATATATTTTTCAAGGATAAAAACTCAAAAATAGAGGGCTAATTTATTACTGTACGACATATTAAGTTTTTATTACCTAATTTCCTATATCTTAATGATGTGCAAGATGAGTTTTTCATTATGCAAGATTACTGTAAAAATAAGTCATGTTGGGACTTCTTACCAATAGAAAAACACTTCTTATTAAACACATTAACAATTCCAAGCCATTCTTGCAATGCAGATATTGTTTTGTTCAATTACTACTGGGGAAAAAATTGAATAAATTTTCGAAAAAACGAAAATTCTAAAAAAATTTCATGGTAGGAACAAGGACTGGTCTCGCCACTGGTTAACGCCACTTCATTTCAAAAAAAAGTACATTCATAGCAATGTTTATTTGAATAAAAATCTTATTCTAACATTTATATATGAAGTTTCTGCATAATTTAACAATAACTATGCCTCATATTATTTTTGTACCATTTCAAATTGCAAATAAAGATTAGAAACGTAAAACAAAGTGCTGCTTTTCTACTGCAAAAATTCATACGTACATATTGTGATTGAATTATAGATATCTGCACAGGAAAGTAGAAAAAGAAAAAAACAACATCTAGAAAATCTGGAGACCAGGTAAATTTATTAAATGTTTTGCATATCTTTGAAAAATATAAAGGGTTAAACAGTACAGTTATGATTTTATATTTGTTCTGATGAACTTAATAAAACATTGGAACGGTATTTTAGAGTTCGTTTGTTGGAAATTGAAAATGCAAATTTAAAGAAAAATTTAGAAGAAAAAGGAAAGTCTATAAGGTGTGATTGTTATTTAGGAAAAAGAACCATTTTTCATTTTATTGTAGCTCATGCTTTTTCGCGTAAATTTCTTCCCCGCAAATTTGATTTCTATTCTTATCACGTCTCTCAAAATAGGCGATTTCTGCATCATCGAAGGTGGAAAGAGTCGAAAGTCTCAAATGACATATCTGTATGTGACGTAATTGATGGGAAAAGGTCGTATCGGAGTATTGCAACACAAACAGGAACGTGCTTGAAATGGTATGCAAGTACTCAGCTACATTATGTCCAACATGACACTCTACTCATGAGTCGTGGTACACAGTTAATTGAACAACATTTTCATAGTTATTTAGAAAAAACATTGTACAAGCAAGACGGAGATGATATTTTCAAAGTGAAAACAGGGGATGATGGGAAAGTGATAATTCAAACAATAACAGTTGGTGGTATGAAAAATGAGAGCGACAATCACATACATCTACCTGAATTAGTTGGCCCTTTATGTAAATTTTAAAACAATTTTAATAACAGAGCTTTACTTCAGAAAAGAACTATAAAAAATCATAGTAATGAATACTTTCTCAAACATCGTAAAAATATTAAGATAAACAAATCGGCAACAGCTGAAGCTTATTCTTTTTCCATGCCATGATTCAAATTCGAAAATTTCTGTGTGGAACTTTAATTTTAATAGAATTATTAAAAATTGAATATACTATGTCCACTGATAGGTTCCGAAAATCTCAGTAACCTATTAAAATTGTTTTCATGGTAGCAAGCACAAAATTAATCATCGTAGTACAGCGCAACAAAAAACCTCCTTTCTCAACTAATCGAAATTTAATTTATATTTGGTACATAAAAACAATGTAAGAAAATTTAATGAAATTATCGTGCTAAGTTGATTCTGACTTTTTTTAAAAAGTATTTTGTTCCATAGGAAATGTTTTACCACTTCTTTGCATTTTGATTCAAGGGTTTTTTTCTAGATGGATTGCGAAAATATGGATTTTGAATTTTGTCTCGTCCAATAGCAAAGATACAAAGTTTCAGAATAGGAGATCGTTCGAAGCCAAGTTATTTTCTGGAATTTTCTGTTAAAAAAGCATTAAAAACTGCGTTGCTAGTCACTATGGTGCACTCACAAGGATAGGAGAATTTTTTTCATTCGTAAATAATATTATTTATAAAAATAAGTTAAGTTTATTGCTCAGATCTGTTTAATAATTGTTGCTTCAATGATTGAGTAGTAAAAAATGACTCATTTCGCTTCTCGCCAACATATTTTAAGCATATAGTCTTACCTTTAACTCCAAAATTCAAGGTCTAAAAATATACACATTTTCGGTTATGTGGACGTATTGCCCAACACCCGTCTGCAATCTAATATCTCCAGTGGTTATATGTCGAAATACGATGACAATTTCCTTCACCATTCCGACTAACGCACAAGTGTGAATCAAAAGTCAAGTAGTTTTTTCACTCAGAATTGGACAAGAGTATATTTTGTGATACAGAAAGAAAAATACATCAATCAACATCGATAAGTCAATCGTTTTTCCAGACCAAAACATTCAGTAAATATTGATACTTAGTCACAAGCACACTTAACTACTCAAACGTTTTTTTTCCTAAACTATAAATGTTTCATTTATTAAACAAGGCAGCTAATGTTTAATTGAACTTTGTAAAATAAAGTAGAAAATACAAAATGTTTCTTACAAGCAAACATCTTTCTTACAACCGACATTGTTTAGCTTTGCCTGGTTTGTGTTCACAACTACCTTTTCTTAGCTTCCCAAATTTGTCAGTGATCAACACTTTGATGACACCAGTGCGTGGATATTTCCATGTACCAAATGCATTTATTTTTTCTTTGGGACCTGATAATACAGTATTCACTGCTTGAAATTTTTCAAGACCAGACTTATTCCACTCGATAGAATACCATCCATCAAGTTCAAACTCTGCTTTCCATTGGTATGTCAGATCCTGAACAGATTTCATGAGATTAATTGTAATTTCATCGTTTGGTGGGACATTGATTGAGACGTCTGTTGTATCTGTTTTCGAAATTGTTTTTGTGTTTCGTGATCCCCTGGAGAAGGACTTTGTTTTAGATATTTGTTTGGAAAATGTGACCGATACTGGTGTTTTTATAACTTTCCCACTTGAAATTGATGCAGAAAAACCACGTGTGACTGAAGTAGAGAAACCAAAAGTGGTGATAAGCGTAGAGGATTCGGAAATTGTTATTGAAAGACGTTTCCTACAAGTATATTTTTTGTAAAAACCTGAGCAAACAACTGGACGAAAATTAGGAATTGGTAGAAGTTTAAAAACACTGAATGGTGTCTTATTTTTCAAGATAAAGTTTTTTGCGTTTAAATTCAAAATTTTCGAATAAGAACCTAACAAAGTTGTACATTGAAAAGTCGAAGCTGTTATTGATTTGTCCCTTGGGTCCATGGAGCATTTCCTCAAATTGCCTCTATTGTCTCTTAATCTTACTACTAGCCTTTGCCCAATGTAACTACCCATTTTACAGCAGTAGTACTCTTCCAAGCAATACAACTTGTTGCATTTATTTCTGTACAATCCAGTCATGTAATAACCCGATGGGCAATCACTCCATCCTCTTCTATTAAACGATTTCCAGTTGTTCTTTCTCAAGCAGTGTCCCCATTGTTTTACTTGAGTTTTAGGACGACAACAATAAGCTTTTTCAATATTGGACAGTTTATTTCCAGATGATCTGTAGAGCCCAGCCATGTAGTAACCATTATTACAAAATGCCCAACCTCTCCTATCAAATGTCTTATACCAATTATGCTTATAACATTCTCGATCTCTTGATGAGGAATATAGATATCCAGGTGCATCATAACAATCCACTTTTTCAATTCGGCTGATAGGATCGGACTTGGTTCGTTTATTTCTGTACATTCCAATCATGTATCTTCCATATCCACACGTTGACCATCCTCTTGAGTCAAAGCTACTCCACCAGTTGTCAATATGACTCCGGCGACTAGGTTTTTGAACGAGACCTTTCACATCTCTTCTGTAGGATACGCTCTTCTGCCACTTCACAGACAATCTTTGAAGAACATGTTTTGCTACATCAACGTCTCCAACAACACTAACAGAATATGCATTACGACCACCACAGCAACTGCTAGGACCGTGACAAGACGACCATGATCGACATGATGTTGCACAACGAGAATCTTTTACTCTTTTTCCTTCAGGATATACGTTTCCACAACGGCATAGATTACCTTTCGTCGCTGCAATTATGAATTTGAGATCTTTACATACAATTTGACATTTGTGGTTGGAATTGTAACGTCCAAGGTTTCTTGAAGTGGTTCTTCCTGGAATGGACGAGAAGCATCCATCTACGACAAATGATGACTCAACTGTAGATGGGATTGTTAAATGCAATAACACAGTCATTATTGCAAATTCTTTAAGCAGAGCCATATTCTACAAATAGAAAGACATGCACGTATAGAAAATAGTCATTCGTTTAGAGGCGACTTTAACTATCATTGGAACGGTTTATTGAAGAAAACATAAGATATAATTATCTATTCCCATTGTCATCAAGGAATTTTTAATTTAAGAAGGTTTTTTGTAAGGCAAAATGATGGAATTTCTAATTAACACCTTGAGTAAGCATGAGAGATGCACGAATATTTTTAATGCTCGGTGTGGAATAGTGGCAGAAAGAGGCAAAACAATAAAATAAATACACCATATAAAACGATGCTAAACAACTGCGAATCATTTATACTTATATGGATTTAAAACTTCAAGACGCTCGAGTAAAGGTGATCACGAATTTCTAGTATCGTTTGCTGAGCAATGGACAAAATCAAGGCAGATTTATACATGACGTCGTTTCATCATACCTCAACTGTATTTCTTTCTTAGGTTTTCTTCTGTTTAAAGTTCCTTCTTTGAGTGCTGGATCAATGTGTTATATTGAAAATGGCAACCTAATTTATATCTCCACTGTTATCACTATGCACATTTTTAACAATCCTAATAGAATGACGTTCTAGTTATATTTTACATTTTTAATTTCGGTGGATGCATTTATGGGAAAAAACTTTTCAAATCTATGTGATAATAAAACAATTATTTTGTTTATGCAAATGCTTCCACATCACTTTTGCCAGGATTAATGAGCAGTGGGAATGTTTTGCTTTCCATTAAGTTTAATAGTAAGTACACATGGGACGTGGAGGAGAGACCTGAAACGTTTTCTTTTAAAATCAGTGAAAACACTTCTTGACAAATGTACACAGTTAGTGAGAAATATTTAGATCTATCATTGATATTTCACGCATCATTAAAGTTTTAAACTTCAGTTTCACTATTTAAATTCTGTCAGTGGATCTTGACTTGCAATTCAGCCATGTTGGTGCTCTGATACAAAAGAATATCTTATTTCATCAGTGTTTATTTTAGTCACCAGCCGACGTGGGCGAGCAACATTGTTTGATAAATCTCAAGAGAATCGTTGCAAGTCGAGAATTAAATCAATTTCACACATTTTTGGATCTAGAATATGTATGTCCAAGTGTATCAAAGAAGTGAAAGCATTCCATAGTTAACAGGTTTACAGCAAAGAGAATATGGGTTATTTAAGAAATAAAAGATGTTTACTGTGTTTGTACAGGGTTATGCAAGCCGTGGAGACCTTTGGGACAACTCCAGAGCAGATCAGTGCATGTCTGAGACTGAAAGCCGAGGGTTGCAGCGGCTCGAGAATTGTCTACCTTTGTAGTGTTATTTCGTATTACCTGTATGTCTACCTTTGTAGTGTACTTTCGTATTACCTGTATGTCTACCTTTGTAGTGTACTTTCGTATTACATGTATGTCTACCTTTGTAGTGTACTTTCGTATTACCTGTATCTCTACCTTTGTAGTGTACTTTCGTATTACATGTATGTCTACCTTTGTAGTGTACTTTCGTATTACATGTATGTCTACCTTTGTAGTGTACTTTCGTATTACATGTATGTCTACCTTTGTAGTGTACTTTCGTATTACCTGTATGTCTACCTTTGTAGTGTACTTTCGTATTACCTGTATGTCTACCTTTGTAGTGTACTTTCGTATTTCCTGTATGTCTACCTTTGTAGTGTACTTTCGTAATACCTCTATGTCTACCTTTGTAACTACCTTTACTCAACAATAACAATTGACCCTCGAAGGTTTCGAACCCAAGACCTCAACCTGAGAATTCTCTATCGACACACTGACCAGAGTTAGTCCGAGAAAGGTGAAAGCTTAGTTTATTTTTGACAGCATGTTTGAAGATATATTTGTAACATGATTTTATAAGTCATTCACATTTTCATAAAAAAGAAGCTTTCTATATTGTTCTGTTAAAATGATAATCAATGAAACAAGCTGCTAAATAAAAAAATTTAGACATGCAAATTTGTTTGTTGCTTTCCAGGAGAATCAAGTAGCCGGTGTAACCAAAAGGCAAAGTTTATGGTCATGGCAACGACCAACTGCATCTACTAGCACGATTTTGAAGTAAATAGCATCGTTACTAACATTTTAAGAGAGAAATCATCTGCATATACATGCAGCAGTCCATGCGCAGTCCACTCGACTAATTGTTCAAAGTCATGGCAACGACTAACTATATATACCTGTACTACCTTTGTGGCAATTTGCTCACTTTATTGCGGCAATTTGCTAAAATTATCAAATTAATCATCTGGCATTCGGGGTAATAATGTCAAT